GAATCAAAGCGATGGCGGGAACGCACACGAGTGCCCAGCAACCTGCTCAGCTCACGGCAAGAGGGGGGAAGACGTGCGCGAATGGCTGTACCAGGTCGAGACGCCTGCCGCATTAACGGAATCACAATCGACGACGCGAGCCCACGAATACCAGGAATCGCCGGGTCGGCAATGGAGAAACCGGCTTCGGGGTGGTTCCAGCACTGGGCTTCGACGACGCGAGTGGAAGAGCACACGTGGAGGATTTTCCGTGAGCATGTGCTCTAACACTTCGAGGCGTCGAACTACCAGTCAGTGCTACGAGATAAGCTCCAGCGTCTGAAGCAGACAGCGGATATCGAGACGTACAACGGTGAATACTCAGCCCTCATCTTTCGCGTCGAAGGCATGAGCGTGCTTGACCAAGTCCTGTTCTACGCAAACGGTCTCAAGCCTCGCACGCGAAGCTACGTGAAGCTCGAGAATCCTGAGACACTGAGTAACGCCATGGACTTAGCTGTCAAGTTTGAGGTGACTCACTTTGTGGAGGACGCTAGTGAGCGCAAGGTTCGTCATGAGAAGACGAAGACCTCTAATGAGCAACCTCAAGGCAACAAGAAAATGTTCAAAGGAAAACCATTCCGAGGAAAGGGACGGTTTGAACCGAGCTCGAATTTGAAAAGCAAGGAGACTCGTACCTGCCACTTCTGCAACAAACCTGGCCACATCAAAGCCAACTGCTTTGCGTGGAAGAAGGAGAAGGGAAGCAGGGAAACGAGAAGCCATGACAGTGAAAGAGGGTCCTGTCGTGGAAGAGAAAGTAACCGGAGCAGTTAAGTTTGATAATGTCAGCCATAATGTTCTGTGTGAAAACCCTCTAGTCTACAAGTCACGTCCACTGTTCGCCGTCGGCGGTGAAATCAGTGTGGCTGGCAAGATGAAGAAAACATCGAAGATGCTTCTAGACTGTGGTGCAACCACGATCTACGTGTCGAAGCGGTGGGTAGAAGAACACCAGCTGAAGACAACGAAGTTCAGCGACAAGAACATTCGAGTCAAGCTAGGAGACAATCAGATTGTGGAGGCCCACCTAGAGGTGCTACCTCTACGTATCCTTGTCGCCGGAATCGACGAGGCGTATGAATGCGTCGCAGTTGTCTACGCGATACCTGAAGAGTTTGACTGCATCCTTGGAATACCTTTCTTTGAGGACATGCAACCACAGATCGACTGGAGACGTCGACGAATCGAAGGAACAATAGAGAGAACTTTGCGCTGGGAGCGAGCGGGTGAAACCTGTGGGCCAATCAAGGAAGGCGGACCGGTGATTGCCTCCGGGCTTCGGAGATCTGTCGGGGCGAAAGGCCTGTCGGCGAAAAGACCCGATTCCTGTCGAGGTGCCGCGCTGGAAACGGGTGTGAAGTCCGCGGTCAATCCCGTTCACGACTCAGGGCAGAGTGAGACCCCACGACTTGCTTGCGAGCGACTGGAAGACGCGTCAGCTGGCAAGGGCTCAGCAGACAAAGACGAGAGGAAGTCGTCGAGACGCGACGTACTGCTGCTGGGAGCAGCGATACCAGGGGAAGAGATTCCGTCGTGGAAAAGATGTTCACGATGGGAATCACAGATGAAGCTAGTATACAAACCAAGTTCATCACGAGAAAGAAACTGCGAAAGTTCCTGAGAATCAAGACCAAGTCGATCGAAGAACCAGACTTCATGTTAGTTCTGACGAACGACATGATCAAAAACGTCCCTCGATCCTTGGAGCGGCGAGACCAACCCGACAATGTCGGAACTGCAAAAGTTCGACGTTATCTGGAGACAGACTGGCAAAGTTTCCGGGCGAACCCTGCCTTTGACTTGCTGACGAAGTACAAGGACACGGTGTTCCAACCTGAACTCCCTGAAGGTCTTCCGGATAGGCGTCAAATAGAGCACAGGATCGACGTGAAAGATCCCAACCTTGCGATATACCGGCAACAGTGGCGACAGTCACCTGAACAACAACGTGAGATCGTGCGCTGGGTTATAGACATGGTACAGAAGAAACTTATCCGACCAAGCATCAGCCCACACGCGGCGCCAACCTTCTGCGTCCGGAAACCGGTTGGGTGGCGGATTGTTCACGATTATCGGTACTTGAACTCTAATACGATACGGCAGAGCATACCGATGACAAGGAAAGAAGACATACTGGACGCCATGGCCGGAGGGTACTGGTTTTCAACGATGGACTTGATGTCCGCGTATTATCAAGTTCGTATGCGTGCCGAAGATATCAAGTTCACAGCATTACAGGCGCCCAACGGACTCTGGGAGTACCTGGTACTGCCAATGGGAGTCTGCAACGCGCCAGCGACGATGCATCGATTGACGTCGAAACTCGTTCGCGATCTGGAGAGCACGAAGTCGTTCTACGATGACATCTACATCTTCACGAAGACACAGAAGATTGAAGATCACTTGGAGGCTCTCCGCAAAACATTGGACATCTTGCGAGACAACAAGTGTACGTGAAGCGTCCAGTGGGTCTTGGTGCCGAGGAGAATATACAGCCTGGGGAAATTTTTTGGGAGAAAAAACGGGCCGGGCGGGGGGATTCCCAATAAAGGGGCGAACCCCCCACAGGACGGGGACTGGCCAATTCCAAGAACGCAAGAGGAGCTTCACAGCTTCCTCGGCTTAACTGGATACGTCCAACGATTCTGCCCAGACTACGCGAAACGGACAGCAAGTATGTTTACTTTGCTCAAGAAGAAGTCCAAGCGCAATGCGAAGATTCGTTTCGACGAAGAGCAGTCGAAGAATTTCAAGGAGCTGAAGAAACGGTTGTGCAATCCACCAGTGTTGCACTCGCCCGATTTCAATCAGCCTATGCATTTGCGTACGGATGCTAGCAAGTTTGCAGTCGGGGGAGTCCTGTTTCAGGTTGTCGACGGTGTTGAGCTCCCCATTGCTTACACCAGTAGAAAGATGAAATCTGCGGAACTCAATTACCCGACGCAGCAGCAAGAACTTCTGGCAATTGTTCACGCGCTGGCAGCTTTCCGTATGTACTGCTTGGACAAGCCACCAATCGTGGAAACGGATCACAAGAGTCTTGAAGGTCTCTTTACTCAAAAGATGGCGAACCGTCGTCTCGCGCGCTGGTACGATATCCTCACGGAGTATCAGCCAACGTTCTCATACCTTCCAGGTGCGAAGAACGGGATCGCAGACGCGCTTAGCCGAAGACCAGACTTGCAACCGGAGACGACGTACTTTCATGACTTAAGTGTGACCAGCTTCAATGATGCGTCCTTCAGTTTAGCAGTCAGCGAGGTGACCACTGACAGCGAGTTCATTACTCGAGATCAAAAAGGCGTACAAGAGAGATCGAGAAGCAAA